ATAAGTCGTCGATCCTGGGAAGCGGATATTTATTCTTGATCGTCAACCGGTTAAGATCCCGGTAGTCGATACACATACGCATAGATCTGTCCTTCTTCTTAACAAAGAGAATGGGTGCTCCCCAAGGTGACACGCTCGGTCGGATGAAACCGAGTCGTAACAGCTCCTGAATCTGAGTCTTAAGCTCCTGTAACTCTTTAGCCGCCATGCGATATGGGGCTTTGGATACTGGACCGGCCCCTGGGATAAGATCAATAGAAAACTCCACCTGACGGTTGGGCGGTCCTCCAGGAAGCTCGTCTGGGAACACGTCCACAAACTCGCGAACAATTGGAACATCATGAGGTGTCCGCGCTTTCTGAGAATCCTCAACAAGGCTTACCAGATAACCCTGGCAGTTGCCTCGTCGCAATAGCTTAGTGGCTTTCGCCATGGAAACAACATGAGGCAGTGAACGGTTCTTGGATCCGAAGAAAGTAATCGACTCGTCTCCCGAAAGATAAAGAGTAATCTCCTGGTCATGACACCTGATGTCTGCATGATAAAAGGATAGCCAATCCATCCCGAGAATAAGATCGAAGTCTCTCATCTCGAGAACAAACGCGTCGGCTGTCAATACTCGGCCACCGATGGAAAGGCTAAGATCTGAGGCTTTTGCTGAGGTCACTATCTTTCGTCCCGAGGCTAGACTCACCTCGAGAGGATCGCCAGCGGTAACAACGTGAACTCCGATGGCATCGAGACATCGTCGTGAAATGAAAGTATGCGTCGCTCCAGTATCAAATAAAGCGAACACAGGAATATTATTGAGAACAACCATCCCGGACATAGTACCTGGCTGCTGTGCTGCCTCTGCCTGATCGACCGCGTAAACCCTGGCCTGCTGCCTGCCCCTCTGCTGCTGCTGCTGCTGAGGCGGCCTCTATGCCTGCTGACGTGGCTGCTGCTGCTGTGGGTTCTGCTGAGGCTGTTGAGGCTGCTGCTGGAATCTCTTCGGACAGCGACTCGCATAATGTCCCGGCTCCTGGCAATAGTAACAGATATCCTGTCCCGCACGACACTCTCCCCTGTGAAGTCGACCATAAGTCGGGCATGGTGGAATCTGCTGTAGCCTCCGTCGGGTCCTCTTATCTGCCGGGGCACCTTTCCCCTTCCTCTTGTTGTTCTTTGCTGGCTGAGGGGCTGGTAGAGCTGGTGGAGCTGCAACTGGCTGAGCTGGGGCGGATGGCTGGGCACGATCACGAACTGCCTCCCTCCTGATACTAGCGTCCACCTCCTGGGCGATAGAAACGGCACGAGCGTAGGTCTGAGTCCCGTGTCCCACGATGTTGTGACGGACTGCTGGGTAAAGTCCATCAATGAACCGCTGAGCTCTCTGGGCCTCCTTGCGAACAAGATCCGGTGCAAAACCTGCAAGTCTAGTGAACTCTCGCTCGTACTCATCAACAGTACGAGTGCCCTGCTGAAGCGCTAAGAACTGGCGCTCCATCTCTGCCCGATAGTAAGATGGGTAGTACTTGTCGCGGACTAACTCCTTGAACATGTCCCATGTACAACCCGCCTTTTCACCGGGACGCATGCTCCAGTAGGCGTTCCACCAGAGCCTTGCATCACCAGTGAGCTGAAGCTGAGCGCAAACTACGCGATACCTATCGGGGCATTCCATAACCTCAAAGATGAACTCCAACCCCTGAATCCATTCATCAACGATGCGGGGATCTCCCTGCCCTGAGAATTTTTCGGCGTGATAGTCGCAGAACTGAGCGACTACCGTAGCCTGAGTAGGAACCTGATGATCGGGCTCCCTACGTGGCGGCATCTGAACATTGAGAAAATTGAACATTATTGAATACATGATAACATTACTGACTGATTGCTAAGGCACACAGATCTCTTGACGAGTTGCCAAAAATGGCCGATAAATACTGACGTGAAACCTGAAGAACTCTAGAGTCATATAGGAAGATCCTAACGTCTAGAGTCATATCTGAATGCCTGAGTTCTAGAGTCATGTCCGAACTCTAAAGTCTGAACCTTATTCGAGCATCTTAACTAAAGTCCTGATCCTCAATTCTGAGCATAGACAAAGTAACATGTTTATAACTGAAAAACTGAATCAGCACTTACCTGTCGTCGGCGGGGCGTGAGCATGACGGTTCAGGTTTTTCTGAAAAATTTACTGACTGAAAAACTTATCAGAGACGCAGATACGTGCTCTGATACCAATTGTAACACCCCTCCTTACTGTAAATATCAGAGTGCGCTAAAATTCGCAAAGTCTTTTAAAAATAAAACCTT